TTGTTCGGGACATGGTGCATGTCGAGCCTGAGAGTAAACTGGCGCCACCACGGGATCGGTTCCGTCTTGGACTGATCGCAGAAAACTGGAATGTCATCTAGCTTGGGTGGGCGCCTGGAGGATGAGGCGGCGGGCGTCACGGTGGCAGCAGCCTGGACCTGCGTCTCTAACTGCAAGTTCGTTGCTTGCTGCGACGTCCTGAAGTCCTGATGCACACGCTTGATATTGCTGACGTCGTCCTCCAAAACTTGAGCACGGGTGGCAAGGTTTGAAGGCCCTGCGGCTGCTACAGCAGCTGGCTGTTTTTCCAACGCCTGCAGCCGTGCGAGCATCTGGTCCACTGTCTGCTGCAGGTGAAGGATTTCCTCCTGCTGCAGAACGCAGGTGGCCACGAGGTCGTGGGAGACCTGCGCAAGGGCTGACAGCCCTTTCTCTGTCTCCGGGGCCTCATCTATAGATGCCACTTGTACCCAATGTGCGGCCTCATCGCCGATCACGGTCTCCCGCGTGAACAGTCGTTCCCGCTGGCGTGACCGGTGTTCGGCTGTCGCCTGCAGCACTGCCTCCTCTTGACGAAGTCGGTCCTGTTCTTCCTTCTGCCGCTTGGCCTCTTCTTCTTGCTCAATCCGACCACGTTCCTTGGCCGCGGCGGCAGCCCTGTTGTTGGCCTCCTGGATGAAAGCAGCCAGGCGTTCCTCATAGGCCAGGGGGGATTCTCCCTCCTTCCGGTCCATGGTCTTGGTCTGTGATCGAGTGAGTCGTGGCATACACTGCGCGGAAGAGTCACCTATGGGCCAATCAGATAGACTGGCCCAGTATTCGGACTGGAGGGGAAAGAACAGGTAGGCAGCAGACAGGTGGGAAGGATCGGACAGATCCCAAATTGAACAGTTCCCTAATCAAAAAGAAGAAAAAAAATAATAATTTTTTATTAAGAAATAATTTAAATAAATCAAAATTCGAAAAAGACTGTCCAATCCCACTAAGTACCGAAGGTGATGCAGAAAGCAAATGTGAACCTTCGGTGCTCAACTGCAAAGAATCAGAAAAGAAGTATCTTTACAACTCAGAGTAGGAGTAGGTTGCAGAAAGAAAAAAAATGCCGGTTTTTTTTTTTTTTGAAAAAAAGAACGGAATTTGCAAACCTACGCAGTGAAAGTGTAGAGGGACATTTTCGGAAAAAGAATCGAATTTGTCAGAATGCAGACATTTAACGATAAGGTAAAAAAAAATTCTCGGAAAAAGAATTCTTAGAACGAAAAAAAAGAATTTCTCGGAAACCAAATTCCTCGGAAAAATAATTTTTCGGAAAAGAATAATAATTTCTCGAAAAAAAATTCTCGGAAAAAGAA